AAGCACTATATAAACTTACCTGCTATTTTTTTTATTATTTTTTATTTTGTTTATTTATTTTATTATTTTTAGTTCTCCCAACAGTCACAAAGTAAATATTCTAGATTGGGTATTGTAATCCCCTTATGCAGATGGGGAAACTGAGGCTCAGGAAGTTTAAGTGACTTGGCCATGGGGTGACACAGCTAATCAGGATAAGAAGCAGGATTCAAATCCCCTGACACCAGACTCAGCATTCTATCCACTTGTTATCCCTATAACTGCAGTTGTGGTTTGTTTAGAAGATAGGTTTATAGAAGCAGCATTAACCTTTGCTCTAGGTACACAGACATGAGGTACACTTAAATCTTCTCAGCCATAATTAAAAACAGGATAGGTAACTAAGTCTGTCTCTGTCCTCTCTAAATGGAAGGTAGGTCACCTGGGAGACTCCATGGGAAAGAATGCTCCACTTGGGAATCAGTGGAGCTGGATTCATAATCCTCCCCCCAACCTATGCTTACTCCATGCATGTATGACTTTGGGTAAGTCATATAAATCTCCCTGATTCTCATTCCTCATTTCCAACATGGAGGTGTTAGACTAGGTGACACCCCCCCCCACCCAGGTCCAGTCCAGCTCTAGATTTGTTATTAGGGGAGTGCCACTGATGTCTTCCATAGCTTTGGTACTGCTATTCTAGGAGATGTAATTCATGAGCACAACTGTGTAGTATGTTATTCAAAGAAGGGAGGAAAGAAGTAATTCTGTAGTGTCAGAGTAAATCTCAAAATCTCCTAAGATCTTAAAAAAAAATCCCTTCTTCCTTTTAAAAATTTTCATGGCCCTTCAGCAGGCCTTTACTGGGAATTTTATCATAATCAGAGTTAAAGAGAGGTCCTTTGGATATAATTAATGCTTACCCATCATCTGATGTGGAATAGCCTATAAAGATTTCTAACTGCAATAGGCCAAAAGAGTAAATTACTCCCTCCAAGTCAGTTAAAATAGTAATGACTAGGATTTACATGCTGCTCTAAGGTCCAGAGCACTTTATAAATACTATGTATTTTGCCCTCACAACGATCCAGGGAGATAGGCACTATTATTATCCCCATTTTACAGACTGAGTCAGACAAGTGAAGTGACTTCCCCAGAGTCACACAAGCTAGTAAAGAGTCTGAGGCAGGATTCTAACTCAAATCATTCTGACCCCAGGCAGTGCTCTGTCCCTTTAGCTCCATACCAGTTACCAGCAATCCTGTTCAGACTTGCTGCCAGTTTTTCGTGGTGCCGATTCTTATTTGAGCTGATTTGGGCCTAAAAGCCTTCCCACCAGGTAGAAGCACAGTGTCCTGGGGAGGCAGCATGGTAGTGTATCCTCTGGTGGCCTTGGGCAAGTCACTCAACTTTCCTGGGCCTCCATTATCTCAACTATGAAATGGAGGAGAGGGAGAGGGAACCAGATGTCCTCTGAGTCTCCTATAAACCTGTAAGGCTTCCACCAAGAACAGGTTACCTCATGCAAATTCTCACCCAACTGAGAGGAGCATTATGGTAGGGGAGGATAAATGGCCTACCCAAAAAAGCTATTACCAGGAGCTCTTAGATCCCAGCCACTTGGCTTCTCCATAGCACAACACGGAAATCCTGGTTCTCATCTGCTTTTGAGTTCCCATCAAGATTCAGTAAAGGAGAGTCTGGAATTAAAATGTGTTGTAGTTGTTATTGTTCATTTGTATCCAACTCTTCGTGATCCCATTTGGGGTTTTCTTGGCAAAGATGCTGGATACAGGTTTGCCATTTTCTTCTTCAGTTCATTTTACAGATTAGGAAACTGAGACAAACATGGTTAAATGACTTGCCCAGAGTTACATACCTAGTAAGTCTGAGGCTGGATTTGAACTCAGTTCTTCCTGACTATGGAGGTTTACCTCTCTGCCAGGAACCTCTCTCGAGCTCACTTAGACCAAGCAGAGCAGGGATAAGGCTGAGTAAATCACTGTCACCCTGGAAAATCAGGGAGAGTAGAAGAATTTCTGAAGTGGAAGCTCTCTTCATTATCAAAATTAATTTACCACAGGATTATAACTGTTTTTCTAATGCAGTCCATCATCCCACACTCTGCCTAGGGCAGATCATTTAGTGTTTGCAGATTCCCAGTTGCTGCCCTATAACTCACCGAAGCAAGACTTAGTAAGACAGGCATGCCCTGTCACTGCATGGTGACTGCCCTGCTTCTGCTGTCTAGAGAGAGATCTTTGGGATAACCTCAAAAGCTAAAGGGGGTGATAGGATCGTAAGAGCACAGAAAGATAGGAACATAGCTCTAAAAGGAACTACCCCATTGATTTGGAACTGAGATTGGGATTTGTCCAAGGCAGATTCCCCTTCCCTGGTCCAATGTCACAAAGGTAAAAAAAAAATGACAGAGGTGAGACATAAAACTGGACCCACTGTCCCCCTGGTGCATTGGTTTGTCTTTTTTTTTTTTCTTCCATCATACTGTGCTCTTGGTCTCATCTTCCAGAGCCTACCTTCCTCAGCAGTTTTAAGTGGATATTTCTAGGCTGCCTCTCTCTCTGCTCTAAACTATTACTCCGCCATCTTACCACGAATGGACTGTCCATGTCTCAGCCCTCTAGGTCTCAGCAACAGTGATTTCTGGGAGACAAAGTGTTGCAAAGATTATTAGGTAGGATTTACCTAAAAGGGAGAGTTTGGGGGTGGGAGTGGGATGGACCTCTTGCACTTTTCAAAAGAAATGAATCCACATAAATTCAACAGAAGTGGAAATGTATTTATAGAGAACAAGTAGAAACAAAACAACCACAAAACCAACATTAATTTGGACTGTTTTTTTTTCCAAGATTTGCTTTAAAAGTAACTAAAGAGCATCACATCATTCAATATATTCACGTTGCTGTTAATTTTGTCTTATACTTTATCCTGAAATGATGTAAAGAGCCAGCCTTGGAATCAGAAAGACCTAGATTCTGACACATACAAGCCGTATCACCCTGGGCAGGTGACTTAACCATTCAATGGTCCAGATAATTCTCTTAGAATTATAAATTGTAGGGGCAGCTAGGTGGTACAGTGGATAGACTACCAGCCCTGGAGTCAGGAGGACCTGAGTTCAAATGCGACCTCAGACACATAACACTCACTAACCGTGTGACTCTGGGCAAGTCACTTAACCCCAACTGCCCACACACACACAAAAAATTATAAATTGTACAGACAGGTTGCCAGGCGACATGGATGGAGTGAGTTCCCTTGCCCTGAGCTCCCCACACAGGCCTAGGCCAACTTTCTATTACCTCATTTACCCCCCACCCAATTCTTGAACTGATTGATGGAGCAAAACCTTCCCTAGATCAGGGGTTCTTAACTTATGTGTTTCAGACCCCTTGACTGTCTGATGAAAACTATGGGCCCCTTCTCAAAATGTTTTTAAATGCATAAAATAAAATATGTAGTATTACAAAGGAAACCAAAGTCACTGAAAGTAAAGATAGAAATTTTTTTCTCATCCAAGTTCACAGACACCCTTCTCACCTCCTTTCTCCACCCAATCCCACCCCTTTCCTAAATCTATCCATTGATCCTTTAGAAGACCACAGACCTTAGGTAAAGAACCTTTGCCTTAAGTAATTATAAGTATTTTCCTTATGTTTTAAACATTCTTTCATTTCCTAACACTGTATTCATCCACTTATAATTAAGAGTACTAAAATAATATTGAAATGTTTTTAAAAGAACCAGGCCAACAGCTTTTCTTTTTTAACCTTCCTGTTCCACGACTGAGTAGTATTTGTGTAAGTAAAATTGCTCTAATTAGGCCTGTTTCCTCCAGGGTAAGGCTATTTGCAAGGATTCACGATGGCAACCTTAAGTTGAACAAAGAGATTTCAGGCCTGGCTATGCTACAGGGCATTTTGCATCTTCAAGAGTAATGTGTTCCTTAGGGATTTTGGGGAGGGGGAAATGTTGAAGAATGGTAGTTGTTGTTGTTGTTTTAATTAAAAGGGACTGTTGTTTGTTGTTCAGTTGTTTTCAACTCTTCAAGACCCCATTTGGGGTTTTCTTGGTAAAGATACTGGAGTAGTTGCCATTTCCTTCTCCAGCTCATTTCACAGATAAGGAAACTGAGGCAAACAGGGTTAAGTGACTTGCCCAGGGTCTCAATAGCTAATAAGTGCCTGAGGCCAGATTTGACCTCAAGAAGATGAGTCTTCCTGACTCCAGGCCTGGCACTCTATCCACTGTGCCACAACAGGGCATTACAAAAACAAGGATTAGAGCTGTGTAAAACATTATTGGGGTGTCATGTGTTTTCACCAGTTAGCTACCAAGGAAAATAAATAATTAAGAGCCGAGAGAGGCATCATGTCGCAGAGCATGTAAAAAAAAATACAGAGGTGTCATTGCTGAGCAGCAAAGTAATATGCAATTGAACATGTTTATTTTGCACTCAGTACAAGGTAGGAAGGGGTTGGTTTTTCATCACAGGTGTCGAAAGATTTCATAGCAAAAATGTCCTTACCAATTAGCAGCCAGCCTCCCTGGCCATTCTATCTGAGCAAAGCTGAATTGCGTTCTGTCCCAGGCTTCAGGTTTGCTTTATACATGCAGGATATTTTGAGATGCGAATGAATTGCCATTGGTGTTTTGTAGAGCATCTGTGTATTCTGGGTCCAAAATTCCTGTCCTGGCAAGAATACCCAACTTCCTGCTTTGGCCAGTTAAGGAGAACTGGCCCAGGAAGAATGCCTTCCATCAATTTATAGAAAATGGCAACCGTGATGAGAAGACAGTGTGACTAGCTAGGGTTAACAGCAGAAAACAGCCCATTAAAAACCAAACTAAGCTTGAGCACCTTCTTGTGAGGAGGAGTGCTGGTCAGAAGGCAATTTAAAAATAACAAAAGCAATAGTAGTAATAATAATAGCTAACATTTATAAAGCACTTTAAGGTATGCAAAGCATTTTACATATATTATCTCAATAGATTCTCACAACAGCCCTGTGAAGTGGATCCTATTATCATCATCATCATCATCATCCCCTTTTATAGATGAGCAAAGTGAGGTACTGAGTTCAATGAATTGTCAGTTTCATACAACTAACGAGTGTTTGAGACAGGATTTGAATTCAGGTCTGTATCACTGTCACAAAGTCCCACACCAGCCACTCCCACCACTTACTCTTTGGGGAAATTACAGCAGGTGTATCCAGTAGAGTAAGAACACCTGGTGTAGGACAAAGCAGTTGACACTTTGGTTAATGGCTAACTGTGATGCTCTTAGGAGATGGATTCTTACCCCTCAGGCACACCCCTACTGCCTCCTGCTATACCTCTACACAAAGAGCTATGTTCAATAATTGGGCAAAGGGTCCACCAGTGGTAAGGCCCTTTTTGTAGACTCCCAAAATAGGAGAGGACAGGGTATTCATTCATTCACACTGGCTTAACACAGCCTCTCCTATAAAGACTTAAACCAACTAGTATAATATATGGGATAGGAACTAGGCCTGTGATTTCTTCGACGAAGGGGATGAACTCCTGGTTGAGAAATACCCTCTACCAAAGCATGCTGGTACTTTCTAAGGCTCACAGTCTTCTAGAGTTGCCTAGAATAATGAGAAGTTAAGTGACTTGACTGGGATCACACAGCCGGTGTATGTCAGAGGGAGGACTTGAATGTGGGTCTTCCTGACTCTACCTCCAGTTCTCTATCCACTATGCAGACTGCCTCCCAATTTATAAGGGATTAAACCATTTCCAACCCACCAAAAGTGTGATAGTCTAAATTCTTTTCCACAAAAAAATCCAAAACACCAAACCTCGAGGTCTCGTAAGTACTAATTCACTGTTGCATTGCCTTCTGCTTAAGTCATAGGTGTACCTACAAGTACACACACATTCACACCCACTCTGTCTCTCTGTCTCTCTCTCTCTTTCACACACACACACACACACACACACACACACACACACACACACACACACACACTGAAACAAATCTGAAGCTGCCCACGAAGAAAATCCCTTGTGAAGCAATACTTGGACCCATGACATTCCAAAGACTCCATCCTTTAGCGAATATTTCTTAATCTAGGACTTCATGGGAGGTCTGGGCTATTGGCTTGTTTTCTAGAACAATTGGTGGCTCAGAAATCAGGAGATCATCCTCCCCGAAGGAGGAGTTTGGGTCAGTGTTCACGAAGTTGGGGATGTTGAATTTGCTCATCTGGGCTAGGTCCTCCTCTTCTGGTCTCCCACTGCTTCTGGATCCCTCCTGGAAGAGCTCATCAGCATCCACTGCTGTCGCTTTGTGACTTGTCTTTGGCTTATCCAACTGGTCTACTTCATTGATGTAGCAGTGGAATAGGAATCTGGACTCAGCGGTTGCTGGGCGAGAAAATACCTTATCCGGCTCCCGAGGCCTTCCAAAGTCTGTAACAAAGCTATTCATTGGAAAATGCTTTTCAGAAGGTTCTGCATTTCTAAAAGGAAAAGGAAAATTATGTACATTATACATCATTCATTTCCAAAATTTGTAACCTCTGTGCCTAGCACAGTGATTTTGAGATTTGAGATTAACTTTCATTTACACAGCATAGATCTTGAATGTATGATTTTTTTTATATTGTCTCCCACATTAAAAGATGAGTTCCTTGAGGGCAGGGACCATACTTTTACCTTCCTTGCATCCTTAGAGCTCATGTGGCTCACAATAGGTGCTTGATAAATGCTTTTTGACTAATTGATTGGTTGAAATGCAAAAGAAATGATAGCTAAAGTCCATGCAAGTTACTCTTCTCAAGACAGGGGAGAATTTAGTCTGTAAAATGGGGATAATAATAGCTTAAAAGTAACCTGCCTCACAGAGTTGTAAGCATAAAATGAGATAATAATTTTAAAGCATTTAGCACAATGCCCAGCACGTAGTAAGTGCTATATGTAGTTAGCTATTAGTAATATTATGTGAAAAGGAGGCCCTCCTGGATCACTGTAGAAATACAAAGACAAATACCTGGCTAACTAGTATACTATAATGTACTACGTATCAGGTGTTGTTCAGTCATGTTGGATGCTTTGTGACCATAGCACGCCTGTACGGTCCATGGGGTTTTCTTGGCAAAGACGCTGGAGTGGTTTGCCATTTCCTTCTCCAGTGGATTAAGACTAACAGAGGCTAAGTGACTTTCCCAGGGCAACATGCCTGGTGAGTATCTGAGACCAGATTTGAACTCACGTCTTCCTGACTCCAGGCCCAGTGCTCTATCCCTGAGCCATCTAGATGCCCCACATGTCTGGTGCCCTGATATACCTTGCACTTTTTATGCTTCATGTTTTGTGCTTTCTCAAGCATCTTCATATCTTTATCTCATTTGATTCTCCCAATAACTCTGTGATGTAGGTTAAAGATATCATTAGCTCCCATATGTGGAAATTGAAGCAGAGAAGGTTTTCATTTCTTTAAAAGGACTTGGAACAAATTATAGTTTATGAATATAATGAGATATTATTATGCCATAAGAAATGATGAAATAGTTTCAGAGGAAACTAGGAAGACCTCTTTGAACTCATGCAAAGTGAACAGAAGTAGAAAAACAATTTAGACAATGACAACAGCATTCATTATGCAGAAAAACAACTTTGAAAGACATCAGAATTCTGATCAAGGAATTTCAGAGAACTGAAGTAAAAAACACTACTCCTTCCAGAGAGGTGATGGTCTGGAAATATAAAATAAGACATAGATTTTGGGGGTGAAACTAATGCAGGAATTTGTCTTGCTGGACAATATTTATTTTCTTTATTATAAGAGGGTTTTTTTTCTTTTTTAATGTTCAATGGGATATGCATTGTATTGTATCTCTTGCCTTCTTAGTGGGTAGGGAAGAGAGTGAGGGAGGGAGAGAATCTGGAACTGAAAATAAAAATGTTTTAAATATATCTTCAGTGGGGGTGGGGGAAGTGAGGAGAGATAATAAATGCTTGTTTAAAAAAAATTAAATTGACTTGTTCAGAATCTCAGGTTAGTTAGTGACAAGGTTACACTTTGGCAGGTTCTCTGCATCCTAGTGCCGTTCTCTGCTCATTAAACCATGCCACCTGCCATGATGTGGAACAAATCCAATAAATTTCACATTGTATAAACACTTACTATGTGCAAAACTCTTTACTTGCTGGTTACCAACAGCAATGAATGAAATACGACTGTCTCCTCTCAAGTAGTATGTAAACTAATAGAAAGGTGACTGTGAATAACTGCAAGAAAAATTGAATCTGACAAGGACATAAGAAAGCCACAAAGTGCAGTGAAATTTCCAAAGAGAGAGAGTGAGAGAGAGAGAGAGAGAGAGAGAGATCATTGTTGATGCTGACTGGGAGTAGGGGAGAGAATCATAGAAAGCTTCATGGAAGAGATGGCATTTGAGTTCGGTCTTGAAGGATGAGTCAGATTGGTCCACTACACCATGATGACCAGCTAGGTAAGTATGAATAAGCACTTTTTTCCCAGAAGCCTTAGTTTTGCCATACATCAAAGTGTTCTCCACCTCTGTCACTGAGTGTTTTCATGGGCACTGAGTATACATTGGTGAATCAGCTCTAAAAGTATGAAGATAATCATTGAGGGGAGATGCCAATAGGTTATGTGCTTTCAGGCAAACCTAAATAGGTTTTTTTGTCCCTGCTAAAATGAATTTTCCTACTCATATCCTCTCCTAGTGGTTTAAAAGTCACTTGAAGGGACTGAGTATCTAGTCTCCCCATGAGCTAATGAGATAAGATGGCACCTAGGAAAAAGTGAGCCTTGAAAGCCTTGATGGAAGGCATATTTACAATAATTAGGTCCACATAATTCCTCACTGTTAGAGCCTTGTGTCAGCCTGTATCACTCCTTTCAATAAAGGATCTTCCTCTGGCCTGACATTTTCCAGTCTAGCTGATGGAGTCACATGAGTGCAAAAAGACCAGATATTCAATTGTTCTTGCTTCTCAGGTATAGCTCTGACTGTATTTCACTGAGAATTATGAAATGCTTCTGTCGAAGTCCCTTAGAAATAAGCATCAATTCAATAGTATGGAAGATGGACCTATTTTTTTCCCTCTCCTGTTTGGGACCAGGTTGAAACATTGATTACTAATGTCCTGAAAATGCAAATGCAAGTCATTCAGTCATGTCTGACTTCATGACCCCATTTGGTGTTTTCTTGACAAAGATACTGGAGTGGTTTACCAATTCCTTCTCCAGCTCTTTTTACAGATGAGGAGACTGAGGCAAACACGGTTAAATAACTTGCCCAGGGCCACATAGCTAGTGAGTGTCTGAGGTAGAATTTGAATTCAGGTCTATCCAACTCCAGTGTGTCACCTACCTGCTTTTCTACAACATTACAATATAGTAGTCCTGACTCTTGTGCTCTGGATTGGCTGGCTCACTTCATCCTACCCTCACACTTGTAGGTCGAGGCTTACCAGAGAAGGATCAGCTACTACTCAGTAGTCTTTCAGGGTCCTAGGGGCAACCCTGGGAGTGGGGGGAGAAGGGGAGAGATATACTATTACTATGTTCCTGAGCTACCACAAGCGAGCTTCTTATCTACACAGAATCAGCCACCATAACACCATTAACTCAAATAAAATATTTCCTTAATGTTAAAACAAAAGTTATTACAATCATATCATGACTACTTAAGGCATAAATAAGGATATCTATAAATCTGGGTCACACTCTCCTACCAGTGTACACAACGTCCATGGGAAACCTAGAAGAGAGCTACATGAATGGGAAACCCCATGTGCTTGGGGCGACTCACAACCCTGTGATATCAAGGCTTTCAGGAATAATCTGCACACCACAAAACCACTCCTCTGCTAGCTCTTTTCTGGTCTCTTGTAGTAGGAAAATCCATTTCTCTTTTGCTGTTTATCGGTGGATGGGGCAGGGACAAGTTCTTTTAATTAAGTCACCTTTTTTCCCCAAATTTTATTAATTTATTTATTTTTAATTTTCAACATTCACTTCCAGAAGATTTTGAGTTCCAAATTTTCTCCCCATATCATCCCTCCCCCCACCTCAAGATGGCGTGCATTCTGAATACCTCTTCCCCTAATCTGTTCTCCCTTCTATCTCTCCCCCCCTTTTCTTGTCCCCTTCCCCTTCAGTTTTCCTGTAGGGCAGGATAAATTTCTATACCCCATTGCCTGTATATCTTATTTCCCAGTTGCATGTGGAAACAATTTTTAACATTTGTTTTTAAAACTTTGGGTTCCCAATTTTCTCCCTTCCTCCTTCCCTACCCGTCCTCATTGAGAAGGCAAGCAACTCAATACAGGTTATCCATGTGTACTCATGCAAAACACTTCCATGGTAGTCATGTTGTGAAAAACTAAGTATATTTCCCTTAATCCTATGCTGCTTCCTGTTTATTCTATTCTCCCTTTTGACCCTGTCCCTCCTTAGAAGTATATGCTTCTGATTACCCCCTCCCCCATCTGCCCTCCCCTCTATCATCCCCTTGCTCTCTTGTCCCCTTACTCCCTATTTTCCTAACAGTCACCTTTAAGGAGGTGCTGAGAAATTGTTATGCTATTGTAGTAACAAGCAGTGGCCTTTAAGTCATGGAAACTGCCAACCTTCTCAGATTGGCTATCCATCTAGCTCCTCACACATCAGGATTCTTCTTGGTCTAATCAATTCTTATCCACTCAGTTCTCTTTAAAGGAAAGCAGATCTCACAGCAAAACTCCTTGAGTTGGCTCCTCAGGTATTGCTGACAAGTCCAGACAACTCTCCCAATGGGATTTGACTTGGTCCAATCAGCTCCGAGCCTCTTGCAACAGAGCTGACTGTAAAATCATTCAAAATCTGTATTTCCCCCTTCTATTCCTCCCTCTCAAACCATAAGAGACAGCAGAAACAACGAGGCACCTCTGCCAAGCTTTAGAGAATGCTGCAAGCGATAGATTCAAACAGCCCCAGAATTCAACCCTCTTGCAAGACAAGCTTGTCTAAAGCCAAGTCCCTCTTCTAGTCAGCAGCTGAATGCTTCCTGCTAGTTTACACTCCTGTTTATTTACACTCAGCTTCTTCACAGTTGACTTTTCCACTCCATCAATGTCTCATAGGAGAGCTTATTGATAGTCAGTGATACATATTTCTTTATGAGAAAAAAATAAGAAATCTATGTTTACTGCAATTATGAACTCAACTCTCCTTTTTCTTTTTTTTTGAAAAAGATGAACTTTTAATAACTGCTTTTATCAACCTGTTAAGTCATACAGTTACAAAGTAGTTAGAAAAAAAAACCATGAAATTTGTGATTTTTTTTCTGTTAAAAAAAGGGGGAGATGGAGAATTCTTTCATTATATAAATAATATCTGGCACTTCACTGGGACTCTAGACAAAAGGCCTTCCCCAAATAACCCCAAAGAAGTGAACCTGTTCAAAAACAAAACAAAACCACCAGATCTGATCCAATTTTGTATCAA